TTGGACATGTATTTTCATAACCCAGCATAGAACTGGGAAATTGAACAGCAGACCCCAATCTTATCCAAAGGAATATTGACAACTGATTACCACTAGATGAGGAAAGTGGATTTTTAAGGAGCTGGTTTGAGGGAAGTCTTATCAAGAGACTTGAAAACAACAAGATGGTTAATAAGTTATCTTCTGGAGGAAAAGTGCTTTCCAGACCCTGGATTCAACCCAGGCTTGAAGCAGGTGCTGGTGTGGAAGGGAGCAAGGCAGAGGCCAGTGTGTACCCAGGAGAGTGTGCTGGGCTGAAAGTGCTTGAGTCCAGATGGATCTGGTGTGTGGGTTAGGGCTTCCTAGGCCATTGTGAAATAAGGAAATCCTAAGCATTTAAGCAGAAAGGTTGCATGAAACTTGAATTTTTAGATCGTTGGCTACTTTGTTGAAGTAAGCTCTAGAAAAATAAGGATAGAAGCAAGCAGGAACCTCTTAACAGTTCAGAGGTTATATTAGTTAGACCTAGTCTCAACATGAGTGCTTACCACTGGGGAAACTTTTAAGAGAAAGTCAGCAGGATTCCCTGCTGTCAGGGATAAGGATTGAAAATAGAGGCATCTAGGATGAATCCAGAGTTTTGGGTCTGATTGGCTGATTGGATAGGGTTGCCATTAACTGAAATAGAGAAAGTTATATATAGATTAAGGGGTGAGATCAAGAGTTTGATTACAGACATGGTGAGTTGAGATATCATTTAGATATCTGAATAACCGTATACACAGGCAGATAGATACATGAGAATGGAGTCAGGAGAGTTCTAGGCATCCACATATGGGTAGTATTTGGAGTCATGGCTGAGATTCCCAAGGAGTCAGTGGTCATGAGGAAGAAAAGGAGTCAGTGGTCATGTCTTGTTACACTGAACCATTTGTTTGCTAACCCTTGGTAGCACCAGTGTATGTAGTCTGGGAGGGAAGAATGGATTCACATGGGTAACAGAATGAGAGATCAGAAAGGTAGAAGATCTGAGAGAAAACAAGGGAAAGATGTGTGTCCTGGAAGAGAAGGCTAGTAACAGTGGCAAATGCCATTAATAACTTGAATAAGCACAGAACTTAAAGTCATCATTTTCTTTAGCCCAAGGGAAGGAACTACTGACCTTGACAAAGTGGTTTTGTCAGACTGTGGGGGGACCCAAGCCTGCTTACAGCAAGCTTCAAAGAGAGGAGGGGAAGGAGAGGTAGACAATGTGTGTAGCAAATGCTTTAGAATTTTTTTTTTTTGGTCTTTTTGAGACAGGGTTTCCCTGTAGCCCCAGCTGTCCTGGAACTCACTATGTAAACCAGGCTGGCCTTGAACTCGCAGAGATCTGCCTACCTCCTGAGAGCTGGGATTAAAAGCCAAGCCGCCACACCCAGCTAGATGCAGCACTTTATAATTTTACTGTAAAACATATTTTGTTTGATCTTTTTTGTCCTTTAACATAAAAACATAAGGTTTTTAGTGTTACTAAGTGTGGAGACTTTACAGACCCTGCAATTTGGCATTTGTTTTCAGTTATGGGACTGTTGCTATAGTCTTAGTAATACAGTTTGGCTTAATTTACTTCAGAGTTTGGAGAGGAGCTCAGCATAAATAGTTTGTCCTTTGTCCTCAAGCCCTTTGACTGTCAGGTCACCTTCCTATTTACAAAAAACCAGGCTGGCCTTGAAATCGCAGAGATCTGCCTGCCTCTGCCTCCCGAGTGCTGGGATTAAAGGCATGCGCCACCATGCCCGGCCCTGCTTTAGAATTTTTACTTGAAGAGGATCAGAGAAATGAGAAGGAAGTAGAGTTATAAGAGGGTTTGTTTGCTAAGAGAGGAGAGATAATAACATAATATGGGCTGATAGTAATGGAGAGAAAGGTAAGGTGGGACACATCTCTGGGGTAATGACCTTGAGCAAGTGAGCAGGTCCTGTAGTGCCCCTAGAGAGGGCTCACCAGAGAGGAGCTTTCAGCTCTAGAAGTGAGGGCAAGAATGGCAGAACACACTGCCGGGCAGTAGAGTAGGTGCATGCTGAGCTTTCTTCTGTTTACCTCATTTTTTTTTAGCTTAAGGAATGTTGTTTATTTTATCTTTCTGCTCATGATCATCACAACAGAACTAGTACATAAAAACTAGAGGGCTTTGGATTAAATAAAAATGTGGTGTTGATAAGAGAGACACATACAGAAACATGACAAGAGCTTGTAATAGTCCCACTGGGAGCATTTCCCAACTCCTTGAGTGTATCTTCCTAGACACTCTGTTGAGTTCTTGTTTGAGAATCTGTCCCATCAGGAAGTACTAAGAAAGAAGACAGAGAGAAATTAATGTTCTTTCCCCTTTCTCTAGAGCTCTGGAGATTACCTTTAATATGTTCATCACCCAGCTGAGCCTGGCAATGTCTGATGACCTCACTCACCACAAAGCATCATCCGAACTTCTGAGGCTCACTCTGGACAACATCTTCCTCCATGTAGCTCCTGTGGCTGGTGCCCTTTCAGGGGAAGAGCCTACCTCCGCCCTCTTTCAGCTTTACTGTGTGGAGGTCTACTGTGGAGACCTGCAACTGGACAACCAGCTCTATAACAAGTCCAATTTCCACTTTGCTGTCTTGGTCTGTCAGGGAGATAAAACAGAACCTACTCAATATTCCAAAATGCAGAGCCTCCTTGTCTCTAGCAAAGACCTGGAAGACTATAAGGAGAATTGTTTCATCAAACTTTACATCACTATATCTGAGGGGAGGGACGTCCTGCTCAATGTCAATGAGTTCAGTTTTGAACTGAAACCTGCCCGGTTATATGTGGAGGACACATTTGTGTACTACATCAAAACTTTGCTTGACACTTACCTTCCTCACAGTAGGCTGACTACTCACTACACACAGCTCTCTGGGGGTAAACAGGCAATACCCATGCAAGTAAGACAGCATGCCAGGGCCTTGGTGAACCCAGTGAAGTTGCGGAAGCTGATCATCCAGCCAGTTAGTCTGCTCGTCAGTATCCATGCTTCCCTCAAGCTCTATATAGCCTCCGACCACACTCCACTCTCCTTTTCCGTGTTTGAAAGAGGACCCATCTTCACAACAGCAAGACAGCTCGTGCATGCGCTGGCCATGCATTATGCTGCTGGCGCTCTTTTCAGAGCAGGTAAGGATGCAAGTGAAGGGTCTGTGATGAACATAAGGGAGCAGTGCATAAGAGGTGATGCATGTAGGCTATACAATTAAATAAGGCTAGATCTAGATCTAGACTCTGCAAGTATAAGGCCTGGGTAAATTATTGAACCAAACTGAATCCTTGTTTCTTCATCTATAAAGTGGGTTGTAAGATTTTTGAGAGGGTCAAATGGAAGTTTGTCAAATACATGGCATTTTGCTTGGCACTTAATGGACACTGAAGCCACAGTAGCTATATTTTAGCTGTTACATAACTTAGAAATTAATTCAATTTAACAAACACTTTTTCAGTACCTTGCAGGCACAAAGCCCTTTCTCAGCATACTAGTGCAGCCAGGAAAGAGGCCCGGCCCTCAGCTCCTTGACCTAAAAGAAATTCAATTCTACATGGCCAGTTTCCTTCATTGCTGTCCATGAATAGCTGTAGGCGAGAAAGCCGGAGGATTCGAATGTTCTGTAATGCACAAAGAGCTCTGTACCTCTCCAGCAGGCACCGCCTGTCTAGACAGAGCACAAAGAGAAGGTTGTTGGTACCTCAGCCTCTCCACAGACCTTAATCCAGAGAGGGAGCTTAGCCTTTGTTCATCCTCACCATCCTCTGCTCTGTGACAGGCAGATGGCCTTGCACAGGCTGCAGGATGCTCTTAGGGGGGTTTAAGGGAAGAAGTAAAACTTCTGTTTTCAGACTGATGGAGAAAGCTTGTAAGAGTGTTTGACATGAGTGCAGAATCTGACCTGGAAGTACTGTGTGTTGAAGGTTAAGGATTTCGGTCCCTGTGATTTCGTACTGCTTTATAGTGATCGGCTCCAAAGCCTGTGTTCCTGAGGCAAGTCCAGTCTAAGGCAGTTCTGGTTTGAGAGTTCAGGCCTTGCCTTGTCAGTCCTCTCCAGTAAAGAGCCTAAAGTCTGACTCTCTAAAAGTGACAAAGATAAGAACTTCTGTCCTTCCGTTTTTGGGACCTTGTGCTTGGTGAATGAATTGCCATAGACAATTCGTATTGTGGCAGTGAATGACCACGTTACCACTGCTAAGAGGCCAGTAATCATGCCAGACCGGTAAGATCACACTTCCTCCATAATGAAATACATAGATATAATAGGCTATCCCAGCTCTTTATAGAAAAGGAGAGCATCGAGCAGAGAGCCTGACCAGACCTGTTGTTTGGATAGTTTTCAAAACAGTGAAGAAAATATCTCCCTCTTGCTAAGAAGTCATTTAAAAATAGTATTTCAACCTTAATAAATGGGAATATTTGCAAACTATTCCAGAAACTTACCCTCGCAGGCAATTTGCTATTAACAAAACAGATATGTCCATTACTGAGCTCTGATCCAAGGCCAGGGAAGAAGTAAGACTCCACCCAGTCACAGCTGACACCAGGTACCAGAAATGAGCCAGAGGACAAACTCCACCTGTGCCCCAAGTAACCACTGCCCCTGTAGCCTGTGTGCTGAACTGACTGCCTTGCTTTTGTTTTTGAGGTTTCACAAGAACATTCCCTTTGGTTTGTCTGTGATTCACCTAAAAATCCTGTGGTTATTCCAATCTCAATGTATAGCAAGAAAGAAACTCTAATACCAAGGTCCTGGTTTTTAAAGCCTGTTGAAAACTCTGTCACTAGAACTCTGTGGTCAGCCTGAAGATTATTGGAAAGAAAGCCAAACTTGAAGGACTGAGAAATGGAAATATGGTGGGGTTTGCTGACAGGCTTAAGGAGAATGAACTAGTATTGCTGTTGTCATTGAGAGACTGTGACGCCGCTGGGAGGAAGCAGGTTGTATCCATCTCACTTGGGGCAGCGTTCACCCATTGGTCTCAAAATGGTTCCTGGCCAGCATGGTTGAAAACAGCCTGACCTCATTTCTAGGGAAGTTTATGGAGTCATTTAAGAGGTTTTAAAAATAAATAACTGGTAACTAGAAATGAGTAACCCTATTCAGAGGAAAGAATGTGAGCTTGAGAATTTTCTGAGTCCTTGTCTGCCTCAATTTCATATGAAGCCAGATAGACTCACTTAACCAACAAAATTCCTGAACAGCTAAGCCAAAGATAATCAGCTGGCCCTCTGTATACATGGGCTCACATCTACAGATCCAACAAGTTTCAGATTGAAAGTATTTGATAAAAAGAATTGCATCTGTACTGAATGTGGTCAGACTTTTGTTCTTGTTGATATTCCCTTTAAAATTTAGTATAAAGGGGCCAGCAAGATGGCTCAGTGGGTGAAGGTGCTTACCACAAAGTCTGATGTCCTGAGTTCCATCCCCAGGACCTAAATGGTGAAAGGAAAAAACCAATTCTCACAAATTGTTCTCTGACCCCCACAAGTACACTGTAGCCCATGCATACCCACACATATAAAGACATACACACAAATAAATAAATGTATTAATTTTTTTTGAAATATGGAACTGGAGAGATGGCTCAGTGGTTAAGAGCACTGGCTACTCTTGCAGAGGATTCAGGTTCGATTCCAAGCACCCATATGGTGACTAACATCCATTCATAACTTCAGTTCCAAGGGATCCAACAATCTCTTCTGACATCCTCGGGCATTGAACAGCACAGATGTACTTACATACGTGCAGGCAATATACTCATACACAAAGTAAAAATAATAAAATAAAAATTTTTTGAAATAAAATATACACTTTTGACATGATTTTTGCATTATACTTGATATTACAAATAATCTAGAGATGATTTAAGTATATGGAGGACTGCACAGATCTTGTGCAGTCCTGTGGGCCACTTTATACAGAGACCTGAGTACCTTTGTACTCTGGTGCTTACAGGGGTCCTGGAAGCCATGGGTACTGAGGGGCCCATGCTTTGTACTAATGGTACATTTGCTTTGGGAGAAAATCAGTAAGGAATATCCTTGGATACTTTGTGCCCTTTTCTGTGCAGCTCAGATGCCACTAAGCTGCAGCTGGCTTCATGAGCAACCCTCCCTCAGTAACTGCACTGGCCACAGCCAAGGAAGAGCAGGAAAGGGCTACCAGTAGCTGGGATGTAGGGGTGGGGGGGACTGAGGGAGGAGACTGGGTTTTTCTACTCTGTGTACTCTGAGATTCTGGGCCTGGACCAGTCTGTCACAGAGATCTCTGCTTGGTGGCAGGAGGTACTCATTCACACGTCAAGTCTTTGGAGAGAAGGGGAACTTATAAGTTTCCAAACTTATGAACTTATGATCATTCTGTGCTAAGTGGAATCTGCTTTTCTTTACTTCCACAGAGCTTTCTACAGGAACATTATTATGAACACCCCCTGTAGGGGTGGGGGTTGCAGGGAATCAGGTGAACAAACAGAGGTTAGCAACCCCACCCCCATGTCTCATCAGCCAGAGATTATGAGTGATTGAACTGACATAATATTTGAGCCTCAGTGTCCTCCACTTTGCCTGAGAGAGACTGTGGGCACACAGTAGCACCATGTTGGGTTGTGTCTGCCTCTGCTGCCCATGCAGCTCTAACCCCAGCAGCTCAGTGATCAGTTAGCCTGAGTGGATTTGCAAGATGATGCTATTCTCTCCCTTGGCACTTGGAGGATTACATGAGCAATGCCCCCTCCCCCAGCTCTCCATTTGTATTCAGTGGGGAAATTGCTTCTTCCTTTGAAACCCACATTGTCATCCTAACATCAAGAAGAGAGGAGGCCCCAAATGTGTGGAAGTCCCTCTCTGCACAGGGACCTGGGGACTCAGGATCCCTCAGACTGGTGACTTGGCTGAGGATCTCTGTCACAGTAATGACCTCCAGAGACAGGCTGCTGAGGGAAAGGACAACTCCTACACAGGTCCTGTCCTCACAGGCCTCCCACTAAAGAGTCCGCAGTACAGGCTGGAGAGGTCCATGGATTCCTAGAGAATGTTGCCTTTTCAGATTCTTCCTCTCCTTGACCCTGACCTTCACCTGTCCCTGTAGCCTTCAAGGCTTAGAGCCCTCAGTCCCCACCTGGGGTGGAAGAAGAAGGGCAGCCACCATGGACCACACCACAGCCTCATTCCCACAAGGCAGACTGCAATGAGACCACTGAACAGGCCAGCTCCTGGCAAGCCTGAGCTTAAATAGGAAAGCAGATCCAGAGCTACCCTCCTGGGACATCTGCAGAGAACACTCCCCTAATCAGTATGTCCCTGTCACTAATGTTTACACAACCCAAGTTGGGGTTGACGGGGAGACATTTGTCTGGCTCTAGCTCTACTCCAAAGTGAAGCACTCAACTTGGTAGGATTGGAAAAGATTAAAAATAACTCCTCTGTCCTTGTCAGAAGTTTGCACCCCCTTTGCAACACCCCATTTAGCAGCTGGCTTCTCCCAACCAGGCAGCTCCTCCTCCTGCTGCTACCCGGCAGGTTGGGAAGGAACTAGAAATGTCCAGCCTGTAAGCACCTGCAGCCCAGAGAGCCTTCCCGAGCTGGTGGGAGCCGGCTCTGCAGATGGATCCCTTTACAGGAGTACAGGAGGCACAGGCACAGAAGTCATATTAAAGCCATTTGCAAAGCTGCCAGAGGATCACTGTGATTTATAAAGTATGAAAGTTCACGATTTATGAATTCATAGTGAATGAATTATTTCCCATATTTTGCTCCAAAGAAGCTTATTACATCCTCAGTTCTAGTGTGAAAAATGAATTGCGGGGAAAATGGGCCACTTTTCACAAATGTCCAAGGTGTTGAACCTTGGGTCTCAGTAACCCCTTCCCTTTGATGTGTTGCAGGCTGGGTGGTGGGATCTCTGGAGATCCTTGGCAGCCCTGCAAGCCTGGTGCGAAGCATAGGAAATGGGATTGCAGACTTCTTCAGGCTTCCTTATGAGGGCTTGACCCGAGGCCCAGGGGCCTTCGTGAGTGGAGTCTCCAGAGGGACCGCCTCGTTCGTCAAGCATATTTCCAAAGGTAGCTGTTGTGGTCATGCCTTCCTCTCATCCCTTCCTTGTCTTGTTGGTCATGTGTTCAAGTTTTAAATGCCTTCACACTGCCTCCGGCTTCAAGTGCCGTGTTAGCTTGCAGGGAGATGCTGGGCTTGTCAGAAAGCTAAAATGCAAGGCCTTAGGTTTCAAACAGATCCCTGCTTGCCTGTAGTATGTGAGAATGTTTCAGAAACTTCAGGATTTCAAACCTCCCATTGGGAAAACAAGGATTGGCTAAACTGTTATTCCATGTGATAAATACAGAAATATTCAAGGTGTTCAGGATTTCTGCTAAGCATCAGAGATCCTACCCCATGTTGCCTCCTGTGTTTTATAAAATGTAGATACAGTTGTCATAACTTTATAAGGATGTGGATACATTTTGACTTGTAGAACCAATTTGAAGGTGAAACTGCCAGCTTTGCTCCAGCTACAGAAACAGTGCCATCTTGTGGTCCAGACAGGTCACCAGGCACTGAGACCAAACTGCTTCCCACCAGAGAATGTTTTCATTTCTTCTAGCATGTTTGCTTGATATTTTGGTCAGGTTGGCAGTGACTAGGGAACTAACAAGGGCCATCTGAGTCCCTTTTCTTCTCAGCGGGAGGCAGAGAAAACAGGGCAAAGGCCTTCTTGCCCATAAAAGGCATTTTACTGTAGATAATGCCGTAACCCTGTCATGAGTGAGCAGGTTGTGGAAGTCTCTAGAAGGCCTCAAAAGAAGACTTAAGCTTGAAATCTGAGAATCCATGATCCATAGAGAGGGTGGGGACCATGGGTGGGGGCTTGGGAAAAGAGCAACAAGAGCAATAAAAGCAAATTCCATGGACAATGAAAGGGAACCTCCCCGACCCCAGATCCTGGGAGGCCCAAGAGCCAGAGAGCGACAGAGTCACAGATGAGCCCTGGTGGGTCTCTCACTCCTGACCTGGGATCTCCAATGATCTGTTGTTTGTATTTTAAAATATGATAACAAACACTTGTTAAATTGAATTTTATTGACAATTTTAGCATTCTGGTAGTTTTTTACATTTGTTCTCCCCTCTTAAAATCTGTCTGGTTTGTGAGTGAGTGAGTGAGTGAGTGAGTTCAGATCACAAAGACGGTAGCATCAAAAATAACATCTGCCGTTTCTTCTTCATCTGTGTCTTCTGATTTTGCTGGCTGAGATGCCTGTGAACTTGCTGGAGGATTAGGACTGTTCAAAGTGAGCCACCACAGCCATCTTTCTTGAGGAACAAAGCTTCCTTTGTTATCTCTCCCCCACCCAGTCAATATCTTGATTATCAAAACTGCATATATTTTCTCTGGCACAATAATCACTTCCTCGGAATGTCAAATTATAAAGTTTAATGCCTTCCTTTATTAAGACTTAAGTCATGGTTGGGTATGGTAGTGCTTGCTGAGGCAGGAAGATCACAAGTTCAAAACCACCTGGGCTTCCAGAAGACCAGAGAGAAAGAGGCGGGAGGGAGATGAGGCGAACTGAATTGATAAGGAGGCAATAATTTTATCCTAAAGTGGGAGTATTTATTTACAATCTATCTAAAATTCAGCAACATAACTCAGAACTCAGAGCAGGTATGCTAGGGAATGTAGCTCAGTGTGAGCAAGGCCTGGGTTCAGTCTTCAGTACTACGCACACACAAACACACACAGAGCAGGTAAATTTTAGCCTTTAAAACTGAACCTCATGGAGGACTTCAGAGTATTTCTCCAAGTCTTGACAAATGATTAGAAGGATGGGAAGCTCTTGGGCTCTCAACAACCACACAGAGATATTTCCTCTGCCCCACTGGAGTGCCAGTACTCTCGTGGTCAAATGTTAGGTTTACTTTGCTTTCTTAAGTCTCTTGCTTCACATGACCAGGAGGGAAGCACTGTTCCTCCCCAGTAAGTATGAGCAGGAGAAACTCGAGCACTGCCAATCCACTTTCTCCTCATCCCACCCCCAGACCTCTAGGACTACCACCTGGGGTCCACCATGCCTGTGACAAGAAGGCCAACCCCTTTCTCTTGTGCCCTCAGGTACCCTGACATCCATCACCAACCTGGCCACCAGCCTGGCCCGGAACATGGACCGGCTCTCACTGGATGAGGAGCACTACAACCGGCAGGAGGAGTGGCGGCGGCAGCTCCCCGAGAGCCTAGGCGAGGGCCTGCGACAAGGCCTATCCCGACTGGGCATCAGCCTGCTGGGTAAGTGGCTGCACCATTCCCATTAGTCTGCACTCCTGCTCTGCCAGCTGGGGAAAGCTCTCCCAGGAATGGCGCTTTGCCTTCTCCCTGGAAGTGCCTGTGAAGTTCATGTCCTTTCTGTGAGCAAAGCTGAAGCTTAGAGAGGATCACACGCTTGCCCTGGTGCCAGCATTCTATCTGTAGAACACTGGGATAGGACGCCATCCCCCAGAGTCATTGTATGCCATAATAGGGGCATCTCAGGATCTTCCTGGGGAGGCTACCCAGATCAATGCCTGTGCGCTCCCTTCCTTCGCTGACCTTGGGCTTTGGCTTCCAAAGTGAAGGGTAACTGTATAGCATGTCCCTGAGGACTTTTGGAAGTGAACAACCAGCAGCTCTTCCGAAGCACTACTCTCATGACCATGGGTGCTTGCTTTTGTTTGAGCAGCACTTGAATAGCGTACATATGCCATATAAGTTTTGGTGGAGGGCCAGCTTCCCCTTCAATTTGTTTATTTACTTCAGATCAGCCTGACTCAAAGCAATTACTGTTTGTCAAGCAGCCAGATGGTATGGTTAGAGGTGAAGACTGCTCTGGCTATTTCAAAGTATTACAAATGTTTGAAAATAAGTTGCTTTGGAAAAATCTATAAAAAGGAAGCTTCAGAGCTGAAAGTTTGCAGGGCAGGATTTTCAAGGGTATTTTTTGTTTATTTGCTTGCAAAGGAATTTTAAACTGTACTGCTTGGCACCCTGCCTTCTGCGCATCTGAGGGAGTATTGAATGCATGGAGATCAAAGTGACCACAGAGGTGCAGAGCCCAGGATAGCAGAGATGAGCCTGAAAGGCTTCATCCTCCCCAGTCCACTCTGCTCCCAGCTCCACAGCCTGCAGCACAGCCGGCTGATGCTGTGGGAGGAAGTGGTAAAATGTTACAAGTGCAGGTTAAGTTACTAGAAATTATGTAAGCAATAACAGTTTGTGGCATGGGGTGCTGTCATTTGATAATGTGTGGAAAGTGGGAAGCCAGTGACCTGTGATGAGTGCTGGGTAAATGAGCTCCTTGCTTGACTCTGCGAACCAAAGTCTATGGGACTCTTTGGGGAAGGTGGTGTGGGACAGTGGGTGGACCATGTCCCTTGGGGGACTCCTGACTCCTAGATGCCCAGCTAAGCCCTTTCTTTGTGATCTTAGGCAAGTTCCTCTCTAAACCTGGATTTTTATTTGTTAACTGGACCTGATAATGCAGTTATTAGAATTAATAATGAGTAGGCAGGGGCCACAGGCCATAGTGGGTAGACAGAACCTGTCAGTGTTGTATTCTGGAAGCAAAGGAACTGTAAATGTCCTGGTTTAAAAAGAGACATTTGAGCAATGACAGGGCATTCTTGCTGTAGTTAAGTTACTCTGTCCAGAGGAAGTGACAATGAGGTTATCTTGAGGGCCTCCAGATCATCATTTGGGGACTTTGGGATGTTTTGTGCTAATAATTGTGGGCTTAGCCCTTCACTCTGTGCATGAGCACTTCCTTCTCCTGTCCAAGAGGTGATAGGAGCTGACTGTCACACAACTATCTTCACCCCAATCCTGACCCCCTTCTGGCCCTAGGATCCAGCCACTGTCCAGCATCCACTACCTAAAAGCGTTACCTTCCAGCACAGACCAGCTGTGAGGGACCGTGAATCTGCCCTGCCATGGTCACCATGGACATGGCTTCACTGACAGGGTGGGAAGTCAAACAGCTCTCGTTTTTGCTGTCTCATGTATCCTCCCTCTGTGCTATCTGTGGAAATGACAGTGGCTCATGTGATCTATCTGTATCTGATAATTTTCAGAAACCTATGAGTTCTGAGGATGACTTAAGTTGTGTCACCCTCAGGAGCTCAGGTCCCTGGGTAGCATCCCCCTGAGAGATGTACACATTTCTGGACTCCTCAGACTTTACAGTGAGTGATTCCAGCTTGAGTAAAGTGACTTCCTTCCCTTCAAGAGTTTCGTGTTTTACAGAATGCACAGGCTATCTCATGGTACCTGTCCCAGAATACTAGATGTGTGTCAGGAAGAGGAGAGGAGGAGGAGAAGGAGTGAGCAAGTGCTCCTCATTTTGGAAAACATAGATTTGTCATTTTCATTCATTTTAAACAATGTTTAAAATTGCCATATGTAACTAAGTGCCTTATTAAGGTTAGAGCAAGCTTCAGGGTGGGAAAAATGCATTTCCCCCAAATGTGCCTGTTTTACCCCCCGGGGTCATAGTAGAGTATTGTAGAGTGCTGTGAAGTACTTGAAAATCCAAGGAAGTCTTTAGCTGCTCCAGGCCAGGTCAGTGAGGCCACCAGGGCTTTTCCATGAGCTCCATACAGTCTGAGTTTTAGACACTGTTGGAACTGTAGAATTGGCATTGGCTTTGCTTACAAGGTACCAAACTCATTTCCCCCAAATAGCAAACACTTGCTTCCCTGCCCTGGAGCCTAGGCTAAGAAAGGCTAGGCTCTAAGACACAGTTGGGCTCTAGGTCCCTCTGGGGAACCACACAGGAAGGGCACATCACCACCTGATTGGTGGAGCTCACAGCTCTATCTTCTTGACACTCTCAGGGGTGCCTTTCAGAATCCCAACACACAGGCCTCTAGCAGGTGGATCAGGAGTTTCCCCCGAAGGGTGGTGGAGGAGCTATACTTGAGGAGACCCTTGGCTACCAGCAGTTGGGTTTTCAGTAAGTTGGGACTTGTAGCATGGCGGAAACAAGCACTTCTTTCCCAGTTGTCTCATCTGTTCTGACCAAGAAAAGCTAGCCAGAATGTCTGCTGCACTTTGTGGGTCTCACTTGTATCTCAGTGCACAGCGTCCCAGCTTATGCCTATGTACTGTAACCAAAAAGTGGCCAAAATAAAAACTTCATTGTGTGATTAGATTAGATGGCATCAAAATAGATATCCAAGTATCCTTGCTGATTCCTGGAATAAGTCACACAAGAGGGGAAGAAAGCCCTCATTGCTCCTTGCTTCTCCAGGACAGGCTCCTGCAGCTGAAAGTGCAGGAAAGGTTGTTCTGCTCACCAAGGCCTAGCACCAGTCTACAGTACACTCCTCCCTCCTTGCCTCACTTCATCACATTACAGCCCTCTCCATGTGGCCACCCACTCCATGGGCCCATTGCCAACGGGCAAATCTTGGGATCAGTTTCCACTACCTAAAGTCTTAGAGCAGAGTTTGAGAACAGGACAGTAAATAATTTACCAGTCATAGAATCTAGCCAAGTTATACTTATGAGGAGGCCTCCTAAAGCCCTGAGAGAAGCTGCCTCTCTCTGAACAGATTTGTACAAACCATGGGATGGCTGCCAGAGTCTTCACAACCTCTCTGTTCTCCAACTCATTAACACAAAGTAGGAGCCATGGCACCTGGTAACCAGTGAGCTGTCTGCATATATGGTGGGTGGTAGCTTCCCATTCCAGAATCAGGAGTGGAACTGGGGGCAAGTAAACTGACAGCTCCTTCTCTGCCTCATGGAATCTAACCCTTATCTCAGGGTTCCCACTTTTCTAGCTGTCCGAATAGTATCTATCAAAGCCACTGTAATTGGAGCCTTCAGTGTGGTCAATGGCTAGAGAAAGTGCAAGATCAAAGGGGAGTTTCACCGAAGTTCCCTATTTGCACTTAAGCAGACAGAAGTTAGCACCCCATGTGGACATTGTCAGCTGCAGAGGGCTCCAAGTTCCTGCACAGGTTTGGACTGGCACATAAAAAGGAAACGGGAGATAATCCTAAACGATGTAATCACCTACCTTCAATTCAGTGTTAATAGTTACAGTGAAAGCCACACTTGAGAGGGGAAAAAAAAAAGGCATGTCTACCAGAAACACTGGCAATAATTTGGTATATTTGTATGTATCCTACCTCTTGAGAGGTAGAAGCAGCAGAATCATGAGTTCAAGGTCATCCTTGGCTAGATAGTAAGTTTGAGGCTAGCCTGGGCCACATGAGACACTGTCTCAAAAACAAAATACTGAAATCCCTGTCTCTCCATTGCAGTGCTCCCTATCCTGTCCCCATCCAACCATGTGGCTACTCTGGTCTTAGAGGTAGAAAGCAGAGCATTTGATCCTGTAAATGGGGAGATCTTCCCAACCATGGGAATACCAGCTATCTAGGGTGCTAGAAATGTGACACTTGGTCCTCAGAAGGCAAGACAACCTGGACCAATGGGGAGCTGTCATCTCCCCTCACTCTGTCATTTCCTTAGGCTTGGGTGGTATTACTCTAATTGGAAAACAGACCTGCCTGTCATCTCTGCAACTCTTAATCTGTCAATTCATAAACTTAAATGGCTCTGTCAAAACCTAAGGACTGGAATCTGTGAAGAACATTTCCCCTACATTTGACCTGAAGGACTAGTCTTTTGTTTCACTGGATTTTGCTCAATGGAATATTGCTTGAAATTAGCAGGTCATTAACTGAGACCTGGAAATCTCCATCTCCCCAAGAGAGTTTGAGTTGGTGGCATTTAGAATAATGGGATTTGACATGTACTAAATTTTCTACCAGGGGACTGTGCATTTTCATTAATCCTGCAAGTCTCAAGTTAAAAACAAGGAATTCTGTCAGGAATTATAAAGAAATCTTTACTTCTGAGTTAAGGAGCCCTCTGCTCCATCATGAAAAAAGTCAGGGCTGGTGAGGCCTTTCCTAGATCCCATCATTGACCCCTGAAGTTAGAGGACCAAGGAGGATGGGTGTCGGGAGTGGCATAGGGGAGCTTTTCATCTGTCCCCACCTTCAAGTTCAGTGCAGAAATGGTAGCTGAGGGGAAGCTACAGAGCTGTGGAGCAGTGTTTTTATGGCTGTTCTGAAGTGAAGAGGGAGTGGCCAAACCAACTGAAGTGAGAAAGAAGGGTTTTGGTTTTGTTAGTTTTTTCCAATATTGGCAAAGAAGAGAAGAGCCTGCTTGATAAACTGGGTAAGCAAATTTACTCAGACTCCTTGGATTCAAATCAAGACCCAATAATTCAATAGTTGTGTGACCTTAGGAAAATTCCTTAACCTTTCTGAATCTGTTTCTTTGTTCAGGGGAAAAACAACAACAACAACGAAAAAAAAAAAACAAAACAAAACAGTGTCTCACTCATAAGACTATGAAAATTAAATGATCTCATGTGGTTTTACCCATATGTGCCTTTGCACAGTGCTTATCACATACTAAGCACTCAAGATAGACTAGCTATAAGAGAAAAAATGAACATGTCAATAATCTTATTGAATAAATACTATCCAATGTGGTAAATTTGAATTACTAGTCAATAACTGTTATATTGTAAGTTGAAGGAGAGGAGAGGTGGGTCAGTAAGACTGTTTGCTGTGAAAGCCTGAAGACCTGAGTTCAAATCACAAGCACCCACATAAAAAAGCAGGGCAAGGCTGCACATGCCTGCAACCCCAGCGTTAGGGGCATGGAGACAGGCAGCTCCTGGGAGTTCACTGGCCTACCAGCCTAGCCAAAGCCACGAGCTTGAGGTTCAGTGAGAGACCTTGTCTCAGGGAAATAAGGCAGAGAGCAATAGAGGAAGACACCTGACATCCACCTCTAGCCTCCACATGCACACATATATGCATGTGCTGTCACATATATACACCACACACATGAGTACAGACACAGAAAGAGGTTGATCCCTTCCAGTTTTTTCACTCCTCTCCTAGTTAAATAATGTTATTAGACTGTACAGGCCCTCTCTCATGAGGAGTTGCTTCCTTCTCCTAAAATGTATTGTTATTTCTAGAGAGAGGCATGCAGCCTGTTGAATAGCCTGTTAAATTTTGGATAAAAATTCTATATACCAACTTTGTGAGCCAAACCATAATAACCTTAGCATTATGTTTTGATGAGGAAAACATAGTGTAAATGGCCCTCAGTGTACTTAGATTATTGGTAAATAAATGTATAGCAGAGAACTTTATGAGGGCAGGAATTCAATTTCAATCCAGATTAAACAGTTCAAAATTGAATTTTTGTTGTCTGAAGATTTTGAGCCCTTGTTCTTACTGAAGACTTTGTTATTTCAGGTGCAATTGCTGGTATAGTTGATCAGCCAATGCAGAACTTCCAGAAAACATCCGAGGCCCAGACTTCAGCAGGACATAAGGCCAAGGGTGTTATCTCAGGTGTGGGGAAAGGAATCATGGGGGTGTTCACAAAACCCATTGGAGGAGCTGCTGAACTTGTATCACAGACTGGCTATGGTAAGTAGTGGGAAACCAGTCAGGCTAACTGAGATGTGACTAATGTCCATTGATAACCCAGGGTTCACATGGGGAAGGGTGAAACATAAAATGGATAAATAGTAGCTACCTTTTTTGCATCCTATGTTTATCTACACAGAGTATAACTGTACTGCCAATTAGTAATTTCAATGAGCAATTTCAAGTAGATTCCGTGTCACAATTTTTTTTATGGTTCACTTAAAAAACTTTAATGAAAAGTAACCACTTGGAAGTTGAGAGCAGTATGGAGAATATGCTACAATAGAGAAAAGAATTGTTACTTTTTCCTGTGGTAAATTTGAAAATAAAAACACATGATAAGTCAGGAAGAAGTCTCTGACTGTTATGTGTGGAGGACAGAAGAGAAGACAGCACACAGATCTCCAGGGCTGTGGTGTTCCCACACCTGTAGATGCCTGTTTTGCTGCTTGCAGCCAGTCTCCTGACCGGCCAAAGCAAAAGCATGCAGTCTGAAATAAAAATCTCTTCCCCCAAGCAGATGCTAGGGAGACCTGGGGCTTGTGGCACTACTTATACTTGGATGGCAGAGTGCCAGGACTTCTCCCCAAGTGTGTCTGTGTACATGTGCATGATGGATGGTATGGAAGAAAGCATCTCCCAGGCTTATTTTCTGCACTCTTGGCAGAGCACATTAAAGCAACTTGCAGTGCATATGTGACTGGAATTTCCTTGTTACCTAAAATTTTGTCCATGCACCAGCCATACTAGCGGGCATCTCAGACCATAGGAGGGGTCACCCACTAGTAGGACAGCATACACTCTCTGCATCTGGCCAGACAGGCAATAAGACATACTTTACTGAAGGCATCCTGTACCTCAGTTCTGACAACATGCAGCCAGATCAGAACACACATCCAGAGCATCCTTTGAGAGACCACAGGGAGAGCCATGCTTCCTTCCTTCCTTCCCTCTTCACTTCTCTCTCCTATGAATGACATGTTCACTCACAGGGAGACTGACAATGCAAATTGTTACAACTGTGAAAGGTGGGAAGGGTTAAACTCTCCCTTACACATTAAGAAAAACAGTATTCCTTTTGTTATAGACTCCAATAAGGTAAAATCAACTCAGACTTAGGAACTCGGCCTTATGTAAGAGCATCTCAGAGCAGAACTTCACATGGCCTTTTTGGTTTCCATCACTCTTGTAAAACTTTTATTGCCACACTGAAGGTTTTACAAACCACTAACTCTTAGTCTAATGACTATGCCTCGTTTATAAACATTTACAAGCCTCAGAAAGCACACATGCTGTACCATCTTTGGTTCTGGAGAGTCTCTTTGGAGGCCTGTGTGGCTGCTGCTGGGTGCCTTCATTTGGTACTGGCACCAGCGAGAGCATGTAATAAACCAGAAACCCCAAGAGCGCTCATAAATGTATATAGAATAGTGTTTAACGGCTGGATTAACTCACTTAAATTTAAATACTGTATCTAGGCAAACCATGTGCCTTTATATGTATCTGTGATTTTGTTTTGTTTTTTAACTTTAGCCAGCCATAGAAAAGATACAGAAATATTAAGCAATGAAGTCAAAGAATACTGATTTTTTTAAACACATGAGTTGTAAACGATATGGAAGCTATTGTTCATGACCAGTTCCTCTGAGGAGCATTATGCTTCCTCTAAGTGCTAGTTTATGCTTGGACTGCAGCACTGGTTTGTAGCTAGGGTAAGATCACCAAAGCTAAGATCATTGTAATGTTTAGTGATTATCTATACACTTGCTTCCAAAGATGTGACTTCATTTTGGACCTGTAACATTTTATAGGAGGCTCTAAGCAGATGACATCACTATAGCATAGAACTGGTTTGCAGAAAACAACTAGTAAAACTCTTTTTGACTTCCCTTACCACAGGTATTTTACATGGAGCTGGACTTTCTCAGCTTCCCAAACAGCGCTATCAGCCAAGAGATCTACGTGCTGACCAGGCTCCAAACAGCCATGTCAAATATGTCTGGTAAAATTCCTGAGACACTTGCTCAGCTTTACATTTACACTGTATGTTAATAGAGCCTGGCTTGCTCTTACACTAATGGACCATGCTTCCAGGAGAGCTCAAAAGGAGTAGCTGTTTTTGGCACTGGTATCTTAGACAGTCACAGAGCATCCTAGAGGGCCAGAGAAAGGCTGCTCTTACTGGGTTTGGAGCTATAGGACTCTGCTCCATGAGCAGGGGAGGGTAACTCTAGCACTTAAGAGGCAGCCTGAGCAACACAGGGAGACCCTGCCTCTAAAAGGAACAACAACAAAAAAATCAACCAAAAAAAAAAAATCTGTTCTACACCGATCTCTAGATACACCTTATTAAAGAAGCCTGGGCCTGCAATGCTGCTCAAGAGTCCCTATAGAGCCAGAGTCCTAATTAGGAAGTGTCAGTTCTGATGGGAAGTAAATAGCTAGATAAAGCTTTTCTCCAGGAGCCAGGTTCTTTCTGCTGACCAGAATCACTTTGAGAATTGATATTTCAAGCTAAAGTTGATAATCCACTTTAGGGAGTTTGGGAAGAGTAGCCTCAATATTTGGTAAATAGGAAATATTGTGAAGTTAATGTTGCTCTGACATTCCAGGCTGGCTTCTGATCTTACTTTCTGTCTTCTAAACAGGAAGATGCTTCAGTCTCTGGGTAGACCAGAAGTCCACATGGCCCTAGATGTGGTTCTGGTGAGGGGCTCAGGCCAAGAGCATGAAAGCTGTTTGCTGTTGACATCAGAAGTGCTCTTCGTCGTGAGCATCAGTGAAGACACACAGCAGCAGGCCTTCCCCATCACAGAGATCGACTGTGTACAGGACAGCAAGCAAAACAACCTTCTCACCGTGCAGCTCAAACAGCCAAGAGTAGCCTGTGATATGGAGGTATAGTTCACCAAACAGGATGACTGGGGACAGCTGCCAGGAAGTTCAGATATATAGCCTAATCATTGGTGCTCAGGCATCCAGGGGACCTGGAAACTTGCTAGACAGAAAGGATTGTGAAGGAGTCAAGGTAGGCATTATAGAAGAGACTGGAAGGCCCCATCCATGAGTGCATGTTAGAAAAGAGCCCAACAGATGCTCAGAGGGGGTTCTAACCTGGGACTGTGAATCGAAGGATGGTGTGGCTCAGTTGTCATGAGGTTGGAGTGCTAGAACAGGACAGCAGTGCAATGGAATTAAAAATGAACAGGTTGGTATAAGAAGGGCAAGGAGTACAGCAGCAATTCCTAGCAACTACTGCACAAAGGAAGACCCTGTTCCATGAACAGGGGCTGCAGATCTGTATTGAAGACAGAACCAAGTTAAAGACAGGAGGCTAGACCTTTGCAAACTGAGACACCAGGGAATTTAACTTCCTCCCGGTGCTCCGTTACTCACATCCAACCCAAGATTTCAGGGGACATTTCAAACTTTTGTGATATCTCTCCTGCTTTATAGTCTGCAGCTATGTAAAGTAACAGGGACATTTTAGACTTTGGGAGCAGCTCCCTAAATGTGCTGGCTATTGGCTCCTGGCAAATGTTTACATGAAATGGATGCTCAGGTGGGCATCCTGAGAACCAGGGGTTAGAAGTGAGACTTAACCAAAATGGCCTTGGCTTTCTGCAGTCCAACCTCCAATAAGCAGATATACCCACTGGAAAACTGCCCTCTTCCTATGTACTTCCCAGGTGATGGCCTAAGCCATACATCCTACTTGTTGATCTAAGTAAACACACCTCTTTCCATACAACGAGAGGTATGGTGGTCAGTTGCTGCAAGCTGGAACCTAGGGGTCCTTACTGGGGACTGGGGAGTGGCTCCAGCCAATGTCCCAAAACTGCCCCTAGCAAGTCCTGCCCAATTCCTTCTTTCATTATATCGTTCCTGATATGGGATCCTTTTCTCCTCACACCACTATTTGGGTAGAATTATCCAAGCAGATGGAAGGCAGCCAACCACAACAACTCGTAAGATTTCTCTAGTTTCTTGGATCATAATCAGTCAGGCTTTAAGCTGGGGCTTGGCACCAGGACTACACTGCTGCTTTCAGTTGATGACTTTCTGGGAATAAACAGAGGTCAGATGTCCAGGCTGACTTTATTAAATCTGCCAAAAATCTTCTGATCCAGTTAAGAATAAAGCAGCAGTGATCTGGCTACAGGATTTGGCAGAAGTCTTCAAGTCTTCAGTCCTGAAGGAGAAGCCTCCAAGACCTGAAGAATATCTGTGACCATAGCTTTTCCTTAGCTGGCTTAGTACTCCAGCTCTTCAACTATGAGATTCATCTTCTGCTGATGTCTGTAATTCAGATCCTCTTTTGCATTTCTGTTTTGAGGATATCATAGCTGAAGGGGAAGAGATCTGTTTCTCTAGGGGCTGTGGGCGATGATAAACGGGAGTCAGCACCTATAGGGATCGTGAAGGTTGAAGCAATGGATTCACCAAGTTAAGAGATGGAAACACCAAAGTTCACTGGTGTCCAGGAATAAAAAGGAGGTTTGGGGATTAAGGAATGCCTAAAACAGAGGCAGCTAAAACAGTACTGCAAGTCAGGTGTTAAACACAAGCACTGAGCTCATACCCTTCCATCTGGCAGAATGGACGTCCAATGCTTCAGGCTCCACATTGTGCTTTCTCAGTGTGGCTTTGTTCTGCTCTTACTCTCAATTCCTAACTACCCTTCTGTCATTTACAACCCTGACCTTCCCTGCTGATCCCATAGAAAACTGAAGCTGCAGGGCATTTTTGAGTGACCCCTTCACTGACAGCTGTAATTCAGTGTATTTTCAATGAGAAAAGAGAGCTGTCAGGGCATCAATTTGACCATCTGTTTTCTTCCAAAGCTTGGTTAGGAAGCCTACTCTACTGTCTTCTGTGAAAACCACGGGCAGTATTTTAATTCTATAAAATGGACTTTCTGGTTATTGCTTTTGCCTTAGAAGCCAAAACAGAACTCCCTTTGAATTTTGGAAGGAATTAATTTGTAGATGACATCATTCAGTATATTCAAATATGGCAGGTTTCAGATTTTTAAAAATCAGCATTGCTTTTCTTGGTTAAATGCAGTAGTTTTAGGAATAATAATTGCTTAATATGCCTGGCACGTTATTAAAATCCCCTAATGAGGCTCAAAATGAGTCAGGAGGTCAATTTATTCCTTGGCCAGATTCCTTTCACAACACGGGTTTTCCTGTGCTGCTGTTCAGGAGGAGCAATTAAGCCTTTTTTGTGTATTCAAAGCTTTCCAGCTGAATTCTGGCCCCATCAAATGATATCATCAGAACTCTGGCCTTTGCCTGGTGGTGTACAGCTTTCATCTGTCGGTAAATTTGGGGAGCTTCCTTTCTTTCCTAAGTTGAAAAACCTAAGCCCTAAACTCCAACCCATGCCTTAACTTGCTCTTCTGGCAGCCCCTTTACTATCTCATGGTTTCCTACAGCTTTTATATTACCGGCTGCATTATTTCTGGGCCTTGTGTAGTAATTATAAATTGTTTAGATTACCACTACCCCGAGAACCAAAAGGTCCCTATTGAAATGTTTGTAATTCTTCCCAAATGATCTTGCCAATATTCAGTAAGTAAAAACCACTGCAAGGTCAGTAGCTATTTAACTCTATGGACCACTGGCTTGTTCTCAAGCAAGTTCCCCAGTCCACTTGATCTGCATGCTAGATAACTTCAGGGTGGGAAGAATTTATAGCCCCAACTGCCTTTCATGGTTCTTTCTCAGAAAATCTCACCTAAGAACTTAGGTAGTATATCTCGGTTCTCTTGAGTTCCACTGACGATGAGCCAGACTTTCATGATCTATAAATGTACTTTGCATCCTCCCTTTTGTTCCATAAAAATTTTCCCTTCCTCGGCCCAGTTTTTCTATTTTCTCTGGCTTTAAGTCTTAGTATTTATAAAAACAAAATGGTAAGTTCAAGGGCCTTGTGTAGTAATTATAAATTGTTTAGATTACCACTACCCCGAGAACCAAAAGGTCCCTATTGAAATGTTTGTAATTCTTCCCAAATGATCTTGCCAATATTCAGTAAGTAAAAACCACTGCAAGGTCAGTAGCTATTTAACTCTATGGACCACTGGCTTGTTCTCAAGCAAGTTCCCCAGTCCACTTGATCTGCATGCTAGATAACTTCAGGGTGGGAAGAATTTATAGCCCCAACTGCCTTTCATGGTTCTTTCTCAGAAAATCTCACCTAAGAACTTAGGTAGTATATCTCGGTTCTCTTGAGTTCCACTGACGATGAGCCAGACTTTCATGATCTATAAATGTACTTTGCATCCTCCCTTTTGTTCCATAAAAATTTTCCCTTCAGATGCCAAGTTTTTCTATTTTCTCTGGCTTTAAGTCTTAGTATAAAAACAGAAAATGTTAAGTTCAAAATTGTGGGTATGTGTGTGTATGAGATGCTCTGCTGAAAGCCATTGGTTTGAATGAGGTGCTTGCTCTTCTCTACCATCTTTCTGTCAAACTGTTGAGGTTCTGGGAACCAGCATAACTACTTTTATTTGGGGATACTGAGTCTGATTACATTTAAGCAGGGAAGGTATTTTTCTCCTTTGTTCCTGGGCTGCTTGGTAAAGAGCACTGATGGATGTGTTAATAGTTAATGAGTAATATTATCAAGTTGTTAACTTTAAACATGGGAAATTTATGCAACACCAGATACTTATTCAAAGGAGGTTTGTTCTGATACACAAAAATTGCACTGGTATTGCCATATCTCAGAGGAAAACTAAAAGAAGTGTTGGCTCGGACAAAATACCTTACTAGATGACCTAAGAGAAATAGTGTACAAGTGTATCCAGGGAAAGGGTAATTTTTGTTGTGATGTCTCACAAGGCCTTGGCAACTAATGAATCTGCATTTTTGAATTCCAGATGGATGGTGTCCGAGAGAGACTGTCAGAGCAACAGTATAACAGACTTGTGGACTACATCGCTAAGACATCTTGTCATCTGGCCCCTAGCTGCTCTTCCATGCAAACACTATGCTCTGTGGTGGCTGTGGAACCTCCCTCCGCCACTGTTAAAACATACCATTATTTGGTTGACCCACATTTTGCTCAGGTTTTCATTAGTAAATTTACCATGGTAAAGAATAAGGCCCTAAGGAAAGGGTTTCCCTGAGTCTCCTTTAAGATAGGTGTTGATTCTTATGGTGCAATTTGGTTTTGAAACAAGGAGCAGAGAGACCTAGTGTTAACATTCAACACGGACACAAGGCCAACCCTTTTCTATATTTACAGGCATACTAATTTTCTAAGGACTTAGATCTTACCTTCTCCCCAAAACTTTAAGATGGAATGACAAAAATGTTTCTTCTTCATTTGAACAATGAACAACAGAATCTTGTATTACATTCTTACTATACATAGAAAATGCACTCCTTTTTGTTCTAGACATTTGCAAAAATTTTCCACTCTAATCTCAATCTAGTTATGCTTTGATCTACAGCAAAATGTGGAGAGGCTTTAGAATACAGATCCAGGGATAAAATTTCACCACCTCTGCCTAATACTCTATAAAGATTTGGATTCTTTAAATGAAATGCTTAAGACTTGTTAAATTTGTTACATACTATTCTTTTAGTAAAAAGCTGCTATGTTTATTTCTTCCAAAGACTGCATTTTAGTGAAATTTATAGAACAGTCTTTTAACTGTCCAGGTGTATTTTGGAAAGCTTATGTTACATAAGTTAAAAAGTAAATATCTGGTGTCTACCAATGAACAGACCATAGTGCTTAGGTAACTTTCTTTGGTTCCATAAAGAAAACATGTACTTACTAGGAACTCCCTGGTATATTAAAGGGGCGTCAAGAACCCCAACATCAGTGTTAACAATGACAGCAGTCCACATAGCTTACTCTGCTGAATTGGCTCAATAAAACATCAAGATATTCCTAGTGTCTGGCAAGTGTTGTTTAACATCTAAGAAAAGGCTTGACACAAGATCTGGAGTCACTAGGTATTTTAAAGTGTTCAGCAACTGTCTCATGGTCCAATTAAGACATGCCCAATGATTACATTCACATATAGGCCTGCAACTTGTTGACTTCAATTTCAAAATGCTAAGATAGTTCAGTTTCAAAGGCCCACTTGGTCTTCAACTCTGACTGCTGGGCACACATCACCACTACCATCACTGTTACTAGAAAACAAGATTATTAGTGGATAATTCAGGCCAAATATAAAAAGCAATTTAGTTATTTAACACTCATTTAAGAAAGTAACATTTTGTGAACCTCAAGATTAAATTTTTTAAGAATGTAAATATGCAGTGATTCTTGTATGCTTTATGATAATTTTACATATTGCTAAGAACTGTTGTATAAATAAAAGGTAACCTTGAATTAATGACCATGGATAAATGTCTTGTTACACTGAAGTTTTTTTCACTGATACAGCTCACATCACTAGGATCCCAGAATTTTACACAAGTTAAAAAAAGGTAACTATTGATCAAATTGGCTTTGCTTTGTGCGGGCTGGAGATGTGGGGTGGGCAGGTGCACTATATCTGTGTTACAAGGCCCTGGATTCAACACCAGCACCACCAAAAAGAAGAAGAAAACTCTAACAATAACAAAAACCAAACTAGCTTTGTATAAAATAAACAACTTTAGTCAAAACAGAAATGAATTAAAAGACAGAAAGGGCCTAAGGATGCCTATGAAAAAAATTTACTGTTTAGTCATTATTAGACATTACCCAGTTCTAGCTAAATGTTTTTCTGGATTAGAACATTCTAATTCAGCATACATGTTGTTAGCTCTTTAACAAAAGCAATGAATAATTCTAACTGCATTTTGATTATCTGGTGACAGCAGCACTACTAAAGAAACCCAAACTAGCAAAGAAACCCAAGGACAGTTATTTTCTTTTTTGCAACAAGGCCTCATCATGTAGTCCTGGGTTGCCCCAAAACTCACCAAGTTGATCAGACTAGCCCAAAAATTCATAGAGATCCACCTGCCTCTGCCTTTCCAAGTCCTGAGATTAAAAGCATGGGCCACCAAGCCTGGCTTCTAAGGACAGATTTTACTGGGAAGACTGGAGAGCCCACAGAGCCCACAGTACAGCCTCTCATATGCACTCCAGGAAACCAATGCCGGACCAAATAATTTCAGGACAGGTATCTCAGTAAAATTAACAAATTATCAGAGTAATTAAAGATGTTAAAACAATGGCATTTCTAAGAAAACTAAAAGCAAGTTACTTTTATAACATCTGCCCAGCATTACAAGCACTGTAATAGGTGGCAAATTTTTAAGGCCCTCAATTATCAATAAAAACCAAGCAGAAGGGCTAGAGAGGTGGCTCAGTAGTTAAGAGCATTGGCTGCTCTTGTAAAAATGGCCCAGGTTTGCTTCCCAGCACTCACATTGTAGCTAAGGACCACCATAATTCCAGTTCCAGGGGATCCAACACCCTCTTCTGTCCCCTGCAGGCACTGCACATGGTACACTTATATACATGCAGGCAAATCACTCAAATTTTTAAAAATGTTTAAAAATAACCAAGCAAAGATTTACTGTCCATAGTAACTGTTAATTATTTATTGAGATAAACTATTCATTAGCCCCACGCCCCACATATTCATGTTTTACAGTTCAGGAACGTGTTTTACAGTTCAGTGACAGACTTCTATGAAGCTCCATCCAAAGAATTCTGTGGAGAGAAACACAATGGCTATGTTAACAACAAACATTCTCTATTAATACCATCCTTGAACTCACCTGAAATCTATTCCTACTGGTGGACTATACATTCTGATTACTTACCTTCACTCCATAACAAGTCCAATTCTGGCTGCCTAGGGCTAGGTTCTCCAAGCTCCCTGACTGCCTGCCTAGGTTCCATTCTGGGCATACCATTTCTGGCTTTCATTTTAGCAGATTCTGCTTTTTCCTTTTCAAGTTCACCTCCGTTGTTCTTCCCCTGGCATCTGAATGCTCTTCTTTAAATTCTTTCAATAATTTTCCCATATTTCTTGGTATCATTGCTGAAGGACATGTCATGTTAGGGCAAAACAAGTCTTGACAAATCTTAGGAGGCTGCAAATCATACAGAGTATCTTCTGATCACATTGACATTAAACTAAGAAATCCAATATACACTGAAATTAAACAACACTATAATAGCCAATGGATCAATGAGGAAATCTAAAGGAAATTTAAAAAAGATCTCAAATTCACAACCTAACTACATGTAGTTTAAGGAATCAGAAAAAGGATCTAGCAAAGCTAGTAGGAAGGAAATTAATAAAGATTAGAGATTAACAAATAATGGAAGAACAATAAAGAAAATCTTGGTTCTTTGAAAAAGACAAGAACATTGAGGCCCGGGTGTGGTGCACCCCTTTAAGAGGCAGAGGTAGGCAGATCTCTGTGAGATCAAGACCAGCCTGGTCTACATAGGGAGTTCCAGGCCAGTTGGAGCTATAGGGAGACTGTCTCAAAAAAAAAAAAAAAAGGAATTTTTACTCAGAATGACAAAAGATAATGCTCAAAAACCCCAAAATCAGACATAACAACTTTTCCAGATAGAAGAGTCACCAGCACTGAATTCAAGAAGCAGTACAGTACTCTGCACATCAGACCTAAATCAGTGAGGCTGAATCAGACATCAAAAACCTCCCAAAAAAGACCAGTCTAGGACCAGATAAATTTTACCACAATTTAAAGAATTAACACCAATGCTTCTTCTAATTATGTGGTTATTAAATAAATAATTTTTAAAAAAAGAACACCAATCTTTACAAAGTACTCTAAAAAACAGAGAATGAAAAACAACTTCCTAATTATATATAAGTAATTATATATAAAAGTCTAGCATTATCCTGATAACCTAAACCAGACACATTCAAAAAAAAAAAAAGGTCTAATTACAAATCATCAACAAAATATGAGCAAGACAAATTCAACTGCACATTAAAACAGTACATGATGCCCAAAACATATTTTTGGACTACAAGGATGGTTTAATGTACAAAAATGAATAAATGCAATATACCATAATAACAATTAAATCTAAAAAAAAATCACATGATCATCTCAATAGATGTAGAAAATGCACCTAAAACACCTTTTCATGATTAAAGAAAAACAAACTAGGTACATGAGTGCAAAGTACCTCAATCTCAATATAGTAAATTATAGATGAGTTCATAGCTAGCATCAGATTCAATGATGAAAAACTTAGTTTTTCCTCTAGGATCAGGAAGTAAACTTAATATTCTTGCCACTTGTATTCAACATAGTACTCAAAGTCCTAGCCAGAAAAATTAGACAAGTCAAAGACAGACATCCAAAAACCAAAGAAGTAAAATAAATCTTTGCAGGTAACATTTTATATGTAAAAAACTCTTAATACACACACACACACACACAAAGTTACAGATACAAAAATCAAAACATACTAATAATAAAAGAAAATTAAAACAATTCCAGTTACAATTGCTTCAAAAATAATACTTAGGCATAGACTTATACAAAGTACAAAGCACTATGGGAAGAAATACAGACACAAATAAGACACTGTACACTAATGGACTACAAAATTTAAAACATTCATAAAATCCAAAGCAATCTACAGATCTAATGCAATCCCTATCAAAAACTCAACATCATTTCTGACAGAAATAGAAAAAGAAACCCTAAAATTTATAGATTCTCAAAGGACTTCAAATAGCTCAAACAACTTTGGAGGGAAAAAAGAAAGAAAATTAGAAGACTCACATATCCTGATTTCAAAACCTACTACACAACTACAGTAATGAAAACAATGTGGTACTGACACGAAAATAGAAACCAGGCTGGGGAGATGGCTCAGTGGGTTAAGAGGTCTTGATGTTCAAGCATATAAAGATCTGAGTTTAAATCCTCAGCCCCCAGGTAAAAAAGTCTGGCATGGTTATGCATGCAACTTCACCTTTGTAGGGGAGTCTTGGGAACTTACTGGTCCAGTGAGAGACTGTCTCCAGGGAATAAGGCAGCACCCAATAGAGGAAACATCTAACAGTCCTTCATTCACTGGGGAAAGGATAATCTTCCTAAATAGTTTTGGGAAAATAGGATATCTGTATGCAGAAAAATGAAGAATATTTCCATTCTATCATATAAAAAAAAAAAAAAAACACCATAAAATAGGCAAGAAAAGACTTCAAGGCTTCGAGGTGTAGCTAATTATAGTGTTCACTCACCATACTCAATGCCCTGGTTCAATCCCCAACACCACCAAAAAAAAAGAAAAAAAGGATTGAGGACCTAAAAGTATGAGACTCTTAGATGTGAACGTCAAAAGCCCATTCAACAAAAACAGGGAAAATGGACATTAAATAATACAGCAGTGAAAAGGCAACTTCAGCTGACGGAACAGGAAAAAATAGTGGCTAATCAATCATAAATGATATGGGGAATTTACTACCCAGAATGTGTAAGAACTCTACAACTTACCTAAAAAGATTTAAAAAGTGAGTAACAGAATTAAATAAAAGAATCCCCAGGCTAGGGAGATGGTCAGTGGTTAAAATGCAGGCATAAGGACTAGAGTTTAGATTCCCAGAACTCACGTAATGCCAGATGGATATGGTGGTCCACCTGCAATTTCAGTACTCAGAAGGCAGAGACAGGTAATCCCCAGAGCAAGCTGGCTAGCCAGACCAGTCTTAATCGGTGAGCTCCAGGTTCAATTGAGAGATTCTGCCTCAATTAATAAGGCGGAGAATGACTGAGGGATACTCTCAATGTCAACCTTAGGCTTCCACATACTGCCCCCACACACACCTATACATGTGAATATGCATATAAACATGCACACACACCCAGGAGGGAAGGGGGGGGAGGAAGAGGAGGAGGGGGGGGAGGGGGAGGAGGAGGAACCAACAAAGACAAATCATGTAAGATTCTACTTATACAAGTATCCAGAGTAGTCAAATTCATAAAGTCAAATAACTATAATTAAGAGTCTGGGGGAAGAGGGGAATGGGGAGCAGTTTCATAGGCATACAGTATCAGTTTTGCAAGATGTAGAGTTTTAGAGACTGATTGCATAGTAATGTGAATATACAGTCCTTAAGACTACTAAACTATAAAATTAAAAATGGTTAAGATCATTTATTTGTATTTTACTAGTTAAAAATATTTTTAAAAATAACTTCAAGCCGGGCGTGGTGGCGCATGCTTTTAATCCCAGCATTTGGGAGGCAGAGGCAGGTGGATCTCTGTGAGTTCAAGGCTGGCCTGGTCTCCATAGCAAATGCAGGCCAGCTGCAACTACAGGGAGACCTTGTCTCAAAAAGACCAAAATAAATAAATAAATAAATAAATAAATAAATAAATAACTTTAAATGATCATATTACCTTTACATTCTGAAATCATTTTGTACTCTGAAAGATACCAGCTTTCCTCATCTCTTCAAAATCTTTCATGGAATCATAACTTCTGTAGAAATCTGCATATGCCTTCTTTCTTTGTTCAGCCACACCAAACTAAAAAGTAACATAGTCCATTAGGGTGCTTATTTTTCAGATTATTAGAAATATCTCAAAACAAATCAACAACGTATTTGTGTTCACTCTTCAACCTGAACCCTGTATTCCCCAAGGTAAGGGGTAGAGGAAGTGACACAAATGCAAGGAAGAAATTAGTCTAATGGGAGCCTCACAACAAGAGGTGCCTTTAGATAGATTATACCTACTCCTGAGTGGGTTTTATTTGCTATTTTTGTGTTTGGTAGAAAAAAAGGCACAAACTCCAAGAACCAGAAGATGTACCCAAAAAGCTAAAAGACATCATAAAGTAAATGAAAAGCTTTCCCTTCAGCAAGCCTAAATATTTCCAGTTAAAACATGAGAGCTAGCTCAGCCGTTAAGAACACTGGCTACTCTTACAGAAGAATGACACGGGTGCACTTACAGACACATAGGCAATACACATAAAATAAAAATAATAAGCCGGGTGAAATTTTCAGCCCAATGAACTCATGAGCCAATTCCTGCGATAAATCTGTTTCTCTACATATTCAATGGTGTATGTGCATGTGTACATAAGACAAACATACCCTGCTGACTGTTTCTTTGGAGAGCCTTAAAAAACAAGACAACCATGAGTTCTTTGTTAGAACAAGGAAAGCATTTTTCATTTGTATAATTTTGGTGAACCTGAAAGAATTGTTAGTCAACTCAAGAAAGAAAAACAAAGTGATTTTATAGCCTCATCTAAATTAGTATACATTATACTTTAAAGAGATTTTTTTTAAGTCTGAAAAATCTGGACTTCATATGCCAACAAGATGGCTCAGCAGGTAAAGGTGCCTGCTGCCAACCCTGATAACCAGAGTTCAATGCCCAGGACCCACATGGTAAAGAATCAACTCTTGTTAAGTCCTGTTGTCCTCTGACCTCCACATGTGCACCATGGCAAGCACAGGTAAGCACATACACACACACAAAAAATATGAAAAAATTTATTTAAAAAAAAATCTGGGGCTGGAGAGATGGCTCCGCAGTTAAGAGCACCAACTGCTCTTGCAGAGGACCCAGGTTCAATTCCCAGCACCCACATGGCAGCTAACAAGCA